CTTCAGGTTATCAGGTCCATTTTGAAAACAATGAGGTCCTTGGGGACAATCACTTTAGATCTTTCTTTTTATCAGAGATTTCTGTTGGTCCTTTTGATGGTAATCCATTTATGTCTGCATCCTTAAAGTCCACTTTGCCTTGGTTTTTATCATTGGATTCTCTAACTTTTCTAGGCCATATACGACTAACAAAGGGGGAAAACAGGGGGTATATGTACGGCTCCAGGAACTTTTTGTAGACCCAGAGCAGAACTGGAATGAGATACATGGAATGCACACCATTGTCCCAGGCTTGAGCTCTGGAATCCAATATAATAGAGAGGAAAAGGCTGAGGCTCTATCAGAAATTGTGCAGACAGTAAGGGAAATGCACCTTCGCATTCCCCTTTAGTAACCCAGTTCGGCGACTCATTTTATGGGAGACAAAAGAAAGCGGGACAGGTTGGTTCAAAGACAATGACTTCAACCACCAAGCCCAAATGGAAATGTCCGTACTTCCGCAGGGAGGGACGTGACACCACGAACCTCTATCTTTACACACCCTTTGCTACCTTTTCTATAGCATATGTTCTTCAAAATGGGATTGCTAAATATGGTTGCTATTTTATTTTAATACTGTCAAATTTTTTTCCTCCAAAAAAATAATTGCTGGGCCGGCCGAGTGGCGCATTGGTTAACAGTTGGCTTTGGACTCCAGCTCTGAGCAGCAGGGCCCCAGTTCGGATCCCACATGTGGGCCAGTGATGCTGTGCCTTCTACAGCTAAGATGGTAAACAACAGCTTGACCTGGAGCTGGGCTGCCATGAGTCACCGGTGACGGCGTAGGCTGCAGTGGGGCTGGCCAGCAGCTGGCATGCGCTTTCCTGAGCTGCCATGAGCCTTCGTGAGCGGCTGTCCAATTGCTGGCAAGTGACTGTCTCACCGGGAAGAGTGCAATGATAATACCAACATGGGCCAGTGAAGCGACGTCCTCCACAACTAGACTGAAGAACAAAAGGTCAGTAAGTTGTCTGTTCCCCTTCCCCGATTCCCAATAAAATCTTAAAAATAAAAATAAATACAATAATTGCTAGTTTACATACAATAATATGTATTATAATATATAATATGTAATATTATATTGTAATATTATACTGTACAATAATTATTGAAATTGTTGGTGGGTCCGCACTGCCTATTGTTTATTATCAATCCTGCCTATTATTAAACTTGCAACTTGATGGTCACAAATATCTTTGTAAGTTTTGCATTTCCTAAATTACTACTGAGATTGTCCACCTTTTTATATATGTATTGGCTATTATTCTGTGAGTGTTCTTTGTAATATTAGCCTTTTATATATTGCAAATATTTCTCCCTGTCACTTGTATTTTAATTTTGTTTATGGTGGTTTTGTAGAATTGAAGTTTTTCATTTTTATGTAATCTGTCACTTTATGGCTTCTCATTTTTATATTTCACTTAAGGGTACGCTACTGTAAAATTATAAAGCTAACCTTCCATATTTTCACCTAATGCTTTTTATGGATTTAAAAAATATTTCTCTCTTTATCTAAATCTAGCTGGAATTAATTTTTGGTGTATATGGAGGTGAGGAGATGCCTCCCCCATTCTGGCACTGGCCAGTGGGTAAACAATTTTCCTACACAACTAATCAAATACATGATACACAGAACAAAAAGCACTGGTATTATCAGTGCTATCACCCTAGATACAATTATGGTGGGGGGTTGGTCTACCAGCACATTATCAGGAACTCTCTAAAACGTGGCATTTTTAGTAAACAATTTTGTATTAACAAGCAGTTTTGTACCTGGTTCTCTCTCTCTCTTTTTTAAAGATTTTATTGGGGAATAGGGGAAGGGAACAGTGTTGGGGAATTTGGGGAGGGAACATTGTGTTTTTCCAGGACCCATCAGTTCCAAGTCAAGTTGTTGTCCTTCAATCTTAGTTGTGGAGGGCGCAAGCTCAGCTCCAAGTCCAGTCACCATTTTCAATCTAGTTGTGGGGGGTTGGGGGGGGAGCACAGCCCTCCATCCCATGTGGGAGTCGAACTGGCATCCTTGTTGTTAAGAGCACGCGCTCTCACCAGCTGAGCCATCCGGCCACCCATTGGCAGCTCAGCAACAGCTCATCTTGATCGCAGCTCACTGGTCCATGTGGGAATCGAACTGGCAACCCTGTTGATCAGAAGTTGTGCTCTAACCAACTGAGCCACCTGGTCGGCCCCTGTACCTGGTTCTCTTTTTTTTTAAAGATTTCATTGGTGAATTGAGGGAGGGGAACAGCATTGGGGAATTGGGGAAAGGGGAACAGACATGTTGGTGTTGTTTTTGTTCTTCGGTCTAGTTGTGGAGGATGTTGCTTCACTGGTCCAAGTTGGTACCATCATTGCACTCTTCCTGGGCGAGGCAGATCAGTCGCTGGCCTCTGGATGGCCACTCACGGTGGCTGCTGGCTGCTCACGCTGGCTGCCGGCTACACATGGTAGCTTATGGCAGCCCACTGCAGCAGGGGCCTGCAGCCTATGCCATCGCGGGCGACTCATGGCAACCCAGCTCCAGGTTGAGCTGTTGTTCAGCATCTTAGCTGTAGAGGGCAGTGTCACTGGCCCTCATATGTGGGATCTGAACNCCTCAATGGACTGAATGATAGCCACCCTCATTGGGCAGGGCAATCTGCTTTACACAGCCTACCAAATCGGATGTTAATCTCATCCAGAAACACCTTCACAGCCACACCCAGAAATAATGGTTAACCAAATATATGCGCACCCCATGATCCAGTCAAGTTGACATAAAATTAACCATCTTAGGGACAAATTCTTTACATCTTCTATCTTGATCATCTCATTTGCATATCTACTCCTCACCACTAATAACCTTCACCTCAAATCTAGTTTCTTCCACCCACTAAACTGCAATCCTCCCTTTTAGACTGTATCTTTATATACTTACACTTTTTTGTATATCATTGACAATCTCTGATTGTGTAGATATTTTGTTGGCATCCAACTTAGAAAAAGCAAACACTCTGCTAAAAACTTCAATGAGAAACATGTTTATTTAGGCCAAACTCTGGATTATTTTTTATTTCAGATTTAATATGGATTATATTTCAGTAAGAATGTGTTTGAGTTTCCTACTCGTATTTTTATAATAGGTTGCCAACCTTTACTCAAAGTCTCATAAAATGATAACTCTCAGGGAATATCCATGAAAACTTTAACCTAAAAATTGACTTTCATACAGGGAAACATGTCTCTTCCTCTTTCCACATTCTTGCCTGAGCCTGTAAAATAGAATAGAGCTCATAAAATATTGAGGGTCAAAGAGCTTTGGTCATTTCGCCTACCTCACTCTCGTGGGAACCTGTATTCTGTTGACGTTCCTCAAGGGCATCTGCTGAAAGACAGTCATGGAGGTCCTCTACACTGTGAGGCTTTCTGTTCTGTGTGTGATTCACACACTGGGTAAACTATGTTCTTTAATCTGCCTTTACCGTTAATAAAGCAGATAATCTGACCCCATCTGTCTTCTAAATTTGATTCAAAACCTAGAGATAAGGTATGGTTAATGGGCACTTTTGAAACCCCAAAACATGACAATATAGATACAAATAAAATCCTAATAAATGAATTTGGCCACAAATTCCTGGTGCATATATGTGACACACATGCATATGTATCTACCCATCTATCCATCCCTGCTTTATTTAAAAATGGATTGAAGTCAACCATGAGCCAGAAAATTGGAAATCTGAAAATTTGGAGACCTTGGGTTAAATGGGTTCTGTAACATACACTGTTAGTCACCAACCTCATCTCCATTCTCTGCTCTTACTAACAGAACCCAATTTTGCTGGGAATGGAAATGCTGTTGAGCTTTAAAAAGCTTTATTTTCCCACTCACCTTGTACTTACTGGAAACCCTTTGACCAAATGGAAATCTCTCTTGAGGGCTCCTGGAAAAGCTACTATTTTCAGATAAAAAGGAACAGATACATCTAACTTGGGGCTTTTACATTTTTTTGAATTGAAGTAAAATTAACATACAACACTATATAGGTTTCAAGTGTAACACATAAGGAACTGATATTTGTATATAGCATTGTGAAATGATCACCACAATAAGTCTAGTTAACACCTGTCACCATACATGGTTATAGAATTATTTTTCTTATGTGAGNGCATCTTAGCTGTAGAGGGCAGTGTCACTGGCCCTCATATGTGGGATCTGAACTGGGGCCCTCTGGCATCCCAAGCCAGTTCTTAACCAATGCGCCACTTGGCCGGCCCTGTACCTGGTTCTCTTAATGTGTGTGATACCTAAGGCAAAAATATACATATTTCATAAACAGGTTGAAATAGTAAAAAAGGAGAAAAAGATATTGAATGGTATGGAAGATGTCTTTATTGGCTGGCTAGCCCAGCAAGCACTGCCAATCCCCTTTCCCTGGCCTGCCCCCACTACAATTGGAAAAGTTTACATATTTGAATTCCCAACTTCTTACTCAACCAGGGTGGCCATGTGACACAGTTCTGGCCAATGGCTATAAGGGCAAGTCTTCTAGAAAAGCTTTCACTTACTCAAAAGGGCATATGTGTCTGCCCCCACTCCTTCCCCTTTTCCTTCTCTGAACACAAATGTGATGTCTGGAGATGCAACAACCCTCCTGTGTCTAGGAGATAATTAGCTATCCTGCTGAAGATGGAGTGGAAACAGAAAGGGCCTGAGTCTTTGATGACATTGGTAAGCCGCTAAACCAGCCCTCCCTGGAGACTTCTTGTGATGTAAGATAACAAAATATTGTTATTTCTAAGTCACTGTTAGATTTCCTGTAGTTGCAAGTATTTTTAATTGGTACGCATGGTGTGAATCCAATATTTTGGAAATAGTGAAACGAAACAGTTTTAATATTTCTTCCTAATGAAATTCATAAATTATCATAAATTATTTTCTAGGGATTACTTTTGGTAGATAAAAACTAACAAAGAAACAATTTAAAATAGTAGATTTTATTTTAATTTAATCATCTATATGTATGCATAGATACTATTTTAAAAATAAGCATGTAAACTATAATCATTATAAAACATAAATCAGCCTTAATTTAATATTATCAGAGTAAAAGAGCATGTATAGAAGTCAGTCTAACATTGTTGTATTTGCCTTTTAAAGTTAGAATACATAAAATATTTAGCATATTGCCTTATTTCAGTTTTCATGTTATCATCATTAGGTACAAATACCCTTAGGAATGTGCCAACTTACAACGTACATTCAAATAACCAAAATCTCTTAACAGTTATTAAAGTACCATTAAATCACCTAAAATGAGTAATCCAAAAAAATTTTAGCCTAAATTAAAACCCTGAGGAATTAAAATCTTACACAATAGTTTTGGTTAAGTGCAATTGCATGTTTGTACTACTTTATTTAAGGTTGTACTTCATAAGGCATAGTAAAAATAAAATCTACATAAATTACAATCTAAATCTATATTTTATTTCTTGCTACAAAGTTTTGTTTACCCCAAAAGTAGTTTTTGCACATCATTCTGGACCTTTTCACCACCTACTGGCTTATTTGCTTTATATATAGTAGTTAAGATTTGTGCACTAAGCAGAGCTGCCTTTATATGATGATTCAGTCAAAATGCATCTGAAGAACTACATGTTAGAGAGTTCATGTCCGTGCTCAACCATGGCCTGTACAAACTGCTTGAAGACTCGATCCATATAAGTGGACTGCCTTGGCCAGATTCCCTCCAGAAAACCAATATGGCCTCCATAAGAAGTAAGAACCAAAGCAACATTAGGGTTTTGCTTAGCAGTTTCTATTGGAATAGCTTGGGGGGGAGGGGAGGTGGGATGGGGGGAGGGGGGAATGGGACAGGTGGTAAGAGAGGGAAGGAGAGAGAAAAAATAGAATTATTACCCATTTTGGATAATAAGGAAAAATGTATATCTTTATAATTTCCAATCATTATAAACCAAACACCATTAAACAAATAAATATTTGTAATGAATACAGCTAATGGAATAAGTTTAATTTATTATATTAAACATCTATGTTCTTATAACAGTTCATGTTTATGATTATGTACCAGAGTATCATTTTTGGAAGAATCAATCCAAGTGTTTAATGATAACACAAAAGAATAGGCCGAGTCTTGTTTTGAGAAATTAAAGTAAGATGTTTCAAGGATGGTAAATACTTACATTATGCTATAAGATTCCTACTTATGTGTTACACCAGGAAAGAAAAGCAACTAATCTTATTACCTTTGTGAGAGTTATAAATTCATTATGTATGACTTTGGTTAACTTTACATCAGTTATTAGATTCCTGGGGCCAAATGGTGGCTATGTTAAGGATTTAAAATTATAAATATGATTTATATAGTAAAAACATATATGAATAACAAAAAAGAATGGAATAAAATACTATTCAAGTGGTAACAGTGTTTATCTTTGGGTGGTAAAACACTGTTCATTATATTTTCTTTATCTTCCTTCTCTGAATTTTTATTTATAGTCAGGAGAAAGAAAAATTTTATTTTGAAAATATAGTTGCTGTGTTTAAACAATTCACCAGTAACAATAGTCTTTTCATATGCTCTACAAAATCTATGCTGAGTAAAAACTTTAAAGGGTATGAATTAAAGTTGTTCTTTTTCTTTTCTCCAATGTTTAGAGTTCAAACAATGAAAATGTTTTGATTTAAGTTCTATGCTGGATCCCAATTTGGCATGAAAAGTGTTTTGATTTCAGATATGCTAAATCTTTTCTCCCTAATTAAGATAACATGGTTGATGCAATAATTAGACTTTCATATCTTAGGCAGATTCTTAGGGGTAAATGAAGAAATTAAAGGTCAGATCTCCCTACCCCAAGCCCTTCTAAGGAAGGAAAAAAAGTTGACATGACACACTGTAGAACTGAGCCCCTTCCAAGACAGAGCTACTGCTATGCTCAAACTGCCTATTTAGATGATGTTCTAAATTTGACCCTTCACAACACTCCCTGAAAAATAAACTTAAGAGTCCCTAAGTCAAGTCCCAGGAAGTCAAGTTGTTATCTAAAAGGGGCCCTGAACTCACTTCCTTAGCCAGCCAAACCTAAAAATGAACATCTATTCTTGGGATCAGGTGTGAAAGCTTAAGGGGAATGGCAGGGGAAATGACTGATACTATTTTTGCTTTTCCTTTTCACCTTACATTAATGCTTAGATTTAGAGCGCTTCATTTGCCTCTAATGGAAATATTAAGAGCCCCAATTTCACACTCTGTATACACTCAGTAATTTCTAACACTTAAAGTCTCAGTCATATCAGAAGAACAAAAGGCTGTGCCACTTTGAGTCACGTGAAAGATGTTGGCTGCCTGTGCTCTCAGAATTCAGACAATTGGCCACTATTTCAATGTGGCAAGACTATTTTAATGGCTTGGGAAAGAATAGGAAATAATGTGTTTAAATTTCAACCAAGTGGGTCAGGTTAAATGCTGGGAAATTTTTGTTGGTAGGAAAAGGGTCAGTGAAATATAAAGATGAAGAAATACAAGACTTACTTAATCCAATGGAAATAGGCTAAACAATCACTATGTAATGCAACTGATACTAAAGTTTACAGTTTCATTTTCTGATTTGTGGTCAAAGCCCAAAAGTTCTAGTCATCTAAAGTTACCTGTGATTAATCATAAGTCACGTAATAAATGATACCCCTACTGAGACAATATAGGATTTTTTTTCACATACTTTGGGGATTTTCTGAAAATTTGACAATCGTATGTGTTGTGTTTGTAGTCAAAATAAGTTTTAAAATGAAGTACTCAGGGAAAATGTTTTAAAAGTATTTAGGGGGGAAATATGGAGAAAAGTTTTATAAAAAGCTTTGTGAAATTCATTAGAAAGAAAATTAGAGGTCAAGTCTACTGAGCCTTAAGATAGTATGATTACTTCTAAGCATCTTATATTGCTTCAATGTATAAACACATGCATATACATTTTTGTTGTCAAATTCTATATTTCTTGAATTAAAAGAGCAAGGAAGTTAATTTGGGGATAATTTTCTTTTACACATTATCCAGTGGGAAAACAAAGACTGTTTCCTTCAAATACGACTTTATAGTCTAAATGTGCTCCTCATTGAGATATTCAAGGATACCATATTAATAAAGTCTCAAGTTCTCTTCCAGGTTAAAAGGTGAGAAATATTCCAAAGCCTTCTGTATAGGAACCTCAGGAAGAAAAGGCGAGTGCTGACAATGTACTCTTGAGGCAAAGACATTGTAACATAATGTGTCCATAAACCAGTGTATTTGATAAAGAAGGAAAGGTTATAAAAATGAGACCAAGCAAAATATTGAGAGTCATAATTTGTTGAGGCTCTCACAGTGGACTAGATAAGGGTCTATGACAATGTTTAAAGTGATCTGTTACATTTAGATGCTAAATTATGAGTATCCAGCTATTTTTTCTGTTTATCACAGAGGAAAACATAAGACTGACATTTTATTTCTTATTACTATATTTTCTTAAAAAGAAAAGTAAAACAATTAACTCATGTCAAAATGCATATAAAGATGTTAATTTTACCATGACTGGGTGAAAAAACGTCATCCACAGAATTCAGACACAACACTGGAATCCCTACTGATTTCAGTCTACGGTTTGGACTGGCATCAGTATAATAATCATCAATTGTTTGGTATCCAAACATGACTGAAGTAAATCGCTTATCAAACTCTCTGATGGATTTAGCCTGAAAAACAAAAACAAAAACAGATTATATCTATTCCTGAGATCAAAAGAGGGAATAAAAATATCACATAAAGTTTCTCTCCTACCTTCATGACATGATCCATGTCAATCTGTTTTACAAACATATGCCGGTGTCTGAAACAAAAGAATTTCAAAAGTAAAAAACTAAGGTCATTCCCATCTCAAACATACCTAACATACCTAAAATATTGGGGTGTCAGAAAAGTCATGATGTATTTTGTCTATGTTTTCGAAAGGTCATTTATTTATATAAAGAACAAAGATCAATCAATGATATATTGCCCATTTTGTTCGATAACCTTTTGCCATCTTTCAGTGAGCTTCATAATTCCTTGTTCATAGAAGGACCTGTCTTTATTTGCAAAAAACTGAACAAGGTGCTGATTTACAGCTTCNATGGGATGACGGGCTACAGGTGGCCAGATGGTGACTGGACTTAGAGCTGAGCTAGCTTCGCCCTCCACAACTAAGATTGAAGGACAACAACTTGACTGTTGCCCTTTCCCAATTCCCCAACACTGTTTCCCTTCCCCAATTCCCCAATAAAATCTTTTTTTAAAAAAAGCTAAATCAGGTCCTTATTTTACACATGGTTGTCGGAAAAGTCGTGACATTTTTTTACTATGTTGTTCGTTGCAAAAATGCATCATGATTTTTCATATGTTCTGAATATATATATCAGAATAGCTGATTTCAAGTAACTTTTTTCCTCTAAATTTCAAGCCTTATTTTTTTGAAATTTCATTTTTAAGTCTTTGAATATGCTTGAATTTTTACAGAGATTTAGATTTTTTTGAAAACAGCTATTTGAAATGTAATTCACATCATACAGTTTACACATTTAAAGTATCCAATTCAATAGCTCTTGGTATATTTACAGAGGTGTGCATCCACCACTATCAGTTTTAGAACATTTTATCCCAAAACAGAAATCCCATCACCCTTAGCCATTACCCTCCAATTTTCCCTTGTCCTCCTATAACCTTAGGCAACCACTAATCTGCTTTCTGTCTTTGTAAATTTGCCTATTCTGGACATTTCATATAAATGGAGTCATAATGTGTGGTCCTTTATGATTGATTTCTTTGACTCAGCATGTTTTCAAGGTTCAAGTTGTAGCATGTGTCAGTACTTCATTTTAATTGCTAATAATATCCCGTTGTATGAATATACCACATTTTATTTATCCATTCATCAGTTGATAGACATTTGGGTTATTTCCAATTTGGGCTATTATGAGTAATACTGCTATGAACATTTGTGTACAAGTTTCTTTGAACATATGTTTTACATTTTTCTGCATATACACATATATGGTAACTGTTTAACACTTTGAGGAACTGCCAGACGGTTTTCCAAATGGTTGCACCATTTGACGTTCTCACCAATAATGTATAAAATGCATA